ATATATATATATATATATAATATAATTAAATATATAATAATATAATATAAATGATAAATAATTAATAAATTTAATAGAAAGTAATTTAAAAATATAAAGAAACATTTCGATAGAACGTATTTTTTTAGTAAAGTTATAATAAAAATAAAAATGATTGTAGTTCAATTTACAATTTATGTTCGCGCGTACGTGTGTAATTATTTATTTATTGATTTATTTATTTGTTTATTTATTTTCTTCATCATCTTTTTCTTTGTTTTGTTTTGTTTTGTTTTTTTGTTTCATTTTTTTTTTCTTTTTATCTGCGAACTCAGTCATATAATTAATAGTATTATTTGTAATAATATATCGAACACGTTTACGCGGCATTTATTAATGACAAATTGCGAATACACATTTACGTATATATATATATATATTACGATACTGTAAACGCTTGCGTACGAATATACTACAAATTGTTAATTAAGATTATTATTCAGATATAGCAATATACATTGAATTTGTATATTTATTTATTTATATCCATTTAATTAAGCCAGATTTGTATTATGCAGATAATATTGTCATTTATAAGGCATAATGTAAGCTTTTAATTATTCATTCTCTAAAATCCCATTGTGTTATCATTTCTAATGTATTATTTTTTAAATGTTTATAATATTTATGTTATATAATGTTTATGTACTGTATGTGTTAAATGTACCCATAATTATGAAATTGGTCTATGTCATACATATATCTCTTGTTTCGAAATCTTATTTCAAAATTTATACTTGAACACTGTATAAATTCTACACAATATTGAAATAACAAATATTATCTAACGATTTATTTTTAATAATATTTTCAAATTACATTGAATTCATTTAGTTTATAATAATGTAGTACGTAATAACTGATAAATTCATTTGTTTATATTAATTTTGACTTACATTACGACCACTTTCATAATTATTGGTACAAATATGTAAACGAATCCATCGTGTGCCATATTTAAGATTTGTCTTATTTTTTGTCTTCTTTTTCTTCTTTTTCTTCTTTTTCTTTTTATTTTCTTGTAGTTTTTATAATAGTAATTTTTAGAGAACAGTCTCAAGTAGTGATAGTATCAGGCACTGATAATAATAATAAGTCATGTTTACAAATTGTAACTAAAGAATTATTCATTTTTTTGCAATTTGTATATTTTGATAGATAGATATGTAGATGTATGTGTGTATGTGTGTGTATGTGTGTTGAATATCTGTATATATGAGTATATAAATAAATAGATTATACATCGTGTTCATTATCGTGCTTAATTATTATGTTTAAAAATGATGATGATGATGATTATTATTATTATAATTATTATTACAGATAAATAAGAACTTTAGAGAAGATACTATTTTTGTTTTTTTTTGTTAGTTTAATATTTAAGTGACAAATAAAATGTAATATTTGAATAAAATTAATAATTATATATTGAGAGAAACAAAAATGTATCCTGAGAGTAGGTAATCATTTTTCTTTTTTTTTTTTTTATTTTTTCCTTTTTTTTTTTTTATAGATTCTTGCATTGTCAAATTGTATAAGCTTTGTAATATGTACATGAATATTATATGAGAATTTTGCAATTACATTACTTACACATATGCTCTTTTTTTACAAGCTTTGTCTTAAGAATAATTATTGTCATCATTTTTTGCAGTTTTAAATACACGCATATATATATATAATGTGTACTGCAATCACTTGAGTTTTCTTCTTTTTTTTTTTTTTAAAGGTATATATATATATATATATATATATATATATTGAGTTTAAATATACTATAAATGTAAATATCACTATATATATATATTTTTTTATTATTATTATTATTATTGTCCACACATTATATAAATATCATTAAAGATTGCGAAAGAAGTTAAGGATTTGATTTATATTATTTCCTCTCGAACAGATGCATTTTTTTTGTCCAATGTTTAAATGTTCCTTTATCGAACAATATGTTGAACTCTCATCAAAAAATCTTTTTTAGTTTTAAATATACAGTAGTTTTTTTTTCATTCCTTTGTTTGTTTGTTTGTTTGTTTGTTTATTCATTATTTGCTAAAAATGAATTATACGAGAATAGTATAAAGAATATTGCAAATTGGATTGTATTGTCATTATTATTATTATTATTATCATTATTATTATTATTATTATCATTATTATTATTATTATTATTATTCTTATTATTATTATTATTATTAGTATTATTATTTTCTTTTCATTCATTCATTCTTTCTTTCTTTCTTTCTTGTTTTCACTTTGAACATTTTAGTAAGAAACGAATAATTGATTAATTACTTTTTCTTTTTTTCTTTTCTCTCAATAATTACGAATATGAGAAACGTAAGAATAGATTACGATACCATCTTCTTCTTCTTTTTCTTCTTCTTCTTCATCATCATAGACAATGCAAGAAAACATAATTATTACATTTTTCTATTGGATATAATAAGAGTTTGATATAATATATTCAGCATACTATTATTGATCTGTGTTAATGGATGTCCCATATAAGGATATCACACTTTAATTAGTTTTCTGCCATTTACGTGGCGTGTTCATATATATATATATATATGTTCTCCAATATAACTTCTTTGTCCATTCATATGTTCTACGATCAATTAATTATATATATTGTCAAAGTGAATATGTAATATATGATATATATATACATACGTAGGTTGGAACTTAAATAGTGGCAACTAATAAATTCGTCAAACGTATTTGTATAGGTGTATTTGTTGTGTGTGTGTGCGCGTGTGTGTGTGTACATGGACACATTCGTATATGTATGCATGTACGTATGTGTATGTATATATGCATAGATATGTATGTATTAGGAACTGAAATACTTTTAGAGAGTGTTATACATATTTATGTATACACACATATCCACACTTATATACATACATGCATACATATACATATATATATATATATATAACTTTTTTGTTTGGTGGTGATTTTTTTGAAAATATTTTTCTTTAAGATGTTGGATATTTTCATTCAATTTAGACAAAACAATGAAACAATTGGGCTATATATATATATATTACTGCCAAGAGATTAGTACGAGAGATGATATTGAAACGTACGGCAGTTCTGTCTCTTCTCAATGATTCCAGTTAAATCTTCGAAATATCATCATTTAACGTAGCATATATTCTGGTGAATAATTCTCGCCACGCTGTAAACAACAAATGTTATGGTATATTCAATTTTGTCAATGTTACAATAATGCTAATTTATAATAAAAAAAAAAGAAAGTTAGAAGTGAAACTTTCAAATAAAAACAAATTTCGAGAATAATTTATTATATTGTACTTTTAATTTGTAATTATTTATTTAATTATTAATTTAATTATAAGAAATGTGCGCGCCTGTTCTTATGCAACCCTCCAGACACAGTTTGAAAATGTTGCTTGCGAGCGACATCTACTGGGGACGGAATTTTTTTCCTGCCCGAAAGATAGGCAACCCGTCATACATACGCGTATGAACAGTTTTGACTGGAAAAAAATTCCGTCCCAGTAGATGTCGCTCGCAAGCAACATTTTCAAACTGTGTCTGGAGGGTTGCATACGTACAGGCGCACATTTTTATAATAATTACAAAGAAAGTAAATAATACAACACTTTAAAAAAATGTTTGCAAATCAAATATTATTATAAATAATGATGATTTATAAATAATAATATGTTTGCCTCTTTTTCTCTTCTTACGTAGTATTAAGGCCATTTCTTTCCCTCCACTACATCACCGCGTTTTATTTTTTCAAATTACACCCATTCTAAAGAAGTTTTCATTTAAAAAAATTTTAACATTAAAAAAAGAATAACGAAACAAACATAACTTTATCTATTGGTACAAGTTGAAATTACTTTCTTACAAAACCAATATATAGAAAGTGTTCAAACAACAAGTTCAAACAAAAGTTTCAACAAAGTGTTGAAACTTAATTACAATAAAGCATTGTAAAAAAGATGTTACAATTCTACAAATAATAAACTTACTTCATTAATATATTATTTAAACAATTGTTAATAACATTTAACAGATGATTCGTATGACCTAATAAAAGAATGTAAATATTCTTTCTTGATTAGAATATTATAATAATGAAGAAAATAAATAATGATTGTTTAACTTACCGACCAAGCTCGGCTGATATCACTTTTCGGATTTCTATATGGTTGATAACCATCTAACGAATTAGCATAATGTTTTCGCGGCCGTTGTCCATTTTGATAATCATCTTCGTCGATGTTAGGATAATCCTTGATTGTCGTCTTCGCAGATGCAATTCTTTCAGATGCGTATTGCTTCTGAAATGATTGAACAGAAGAAAGAAATAAAAAGATTAAATTTTGAATACGAATGGAAGAAACGAAAAAAAAAAAAGAAAAAAGAAAAATACATTTTTATCCATTTGATTAATTAACCAATTAATTATGATGATAATTGATTGGATAATAATTTAATAATTGAATTAATTAATTAATGAGAGATAATAATTGATGTTTGTTACATCAAATGTTGACATTTGTACAATGTTACGTTTTATTTGGGGATTTTATTTGACTGTTGTTAACATTGTTATTTTATTGATGATAACAAAAAAAAAAAAAGAATGTGACTTATACAAACCCTAAGTTCACGAGCCCTATCCCCACGAATTAGGTCTCGTAAATGTTGAAAACTACCAGCTTGGGGAACGTGAGATATGAGTGGGGATCCACCACCGCTGTTACGGGAAGTTGGCCCTTGACGTCGGGGTGGATGTAAATTTATTCTCCCATATAAATATGCAACGTCTTCAAATGCCTTACTTCGATGGGGTATTTGACCGCTACGTAATCTACCCCTTGGGGGTACCGTATGAACTATTCCATAAACAGGTGGTGAACTACCAGCAGCACGAGTACGAGGTCGGTCAGTATAATCTGTTGAAAAAAAAACAAAAAAACAAATAATACGAATAAATACTATTTTTTTAATCATTTTAATAATAATTAATAATTTAAATCAATAACAATATATAAATTGATAACAATAGGCGCATGTATTGGGTTGTTCGGAAAGTTCGTGCAGATTTTCGATAGATGGCATAAAATTGTTTTGCTAAAAAAAATCGGAGAAATTTTTGAAAAAAAAAAAACGAAATTATTAAGTTACCCTTTAAAGATGGAGAAAAGGTTATGGAACAGAATTATTATTATTAGTTAGCATTAGGAACTCGAAAGTTCATTGCCGCAAATACCAAATCCCGCCATTGTTTTCCGTCCCTGAGTGCGATCCTTCCATTCGCGGTCTTCGTATCCTATTTTTTTTCAGGATGCAACAGAATAGTACTTATATATAATTTAATAAATATAAATAAAAAAAATAATATATAAGAATATATAAAAATATTATAGACATTTTTCAATTATTTACAGAACTCAAATGTTACACATGAAATAGAAATTTGAAATTAACATGGCGCGACTAGTCAAAATAACTGCTCTGGAATATTTAGTGTTAAAAATCTATAATCTTTTTTCTTTTTTATTTATTCCCCTTTGATTATTTTCATAATGAATTTTGTGTAACCCTTTGAAAATACACAGATTACGTACTCGTCACTGAATTTTTCAAACAGCTTTTATATAATCCGCTTTCACAACTCAAACATATACATATATATATATATACCAGTTGTAGTAGAAAAGATTCTTTTTTTCTTTTTATAAGCCCTTGTAGTGAAAAAGTAAGTTTTAAAAAGAAGAAGAAGAAGAAGAAGAAGGTAAAGTTGCTGCTTAGTAACCAATTGAAAATGAAAATATATATGTATATTATTGTTGTTATTTGTAAATGAATAAATATTATACAAAGCAAAAGCGAGAAAGAAATAAAACAAATGATAAATCAAAAAATCCGAGTTTAAGATCAAAGTGATGAAAGTTGAAAAAAAAAAAACAGATCACACGTGTGAGAAGTGAAATCTTCAAAAAAAAAAAAAGAAAAAAAAAACTAAGTTTCAAGAGAATTAGACGAATACAAAATATCTGCGCTGTAGGATAATTGTATTCTCTTCTTATTTAGTATCGCGACCGTTTCATTGTTTCTCACCGCTCCGTTACATAGCCGCCTACTATGTAACTCCGTTACATTTTTTCAAATCACACCCATTCTAAAGAAATGTTCACTTCAAAAGAAAATACATTTCAATTGCTATTAATTTGCGTGTATGTAAAAAATGTGCGTGTGCGAGAGTGTGCTTGTGTAGGTATGCAAAACGAATGGTATGCGTCGTTCATTGAGCAACAAGTAAACAAAAATATTGGAAAGGTGCACTTTTTGTTTTTTGCTGCCGCTTGTTTACATCGACAGGTGCAGATTTGAGATAATAAATTTGTGTAATTTCAATTGATAGTCATCATTATATAATTACAGAAAAAAAAATTAACCAGTTAAATGCGTTAGACGTGCATACTCGTCGTACCAGATCTCTACTGTGGTGCGGTTTAACGTGTATACTCGTCGTTTAAAATAACAAAATTATCATTCACTATAAAAAAAAAACTCGAAATTACAATCAAATGTAATAAGAATATTATTTGTTTTGCGTTGGACGTGTATACACGTCGTTGCTTGTTTTTAATTCCGCACCATGTGATGATCTTTTCAAACTAAATTCCACAGTCAACTGGTTACAATTGATTGGATATGATTTTTCTTTAGTTTTTTTTTTTTTTTTTTTTTTTTGGTTAGGGCGAGGAAGATTTTTTTCTTATTTTTTTTTGGTTTTTTAAGAAGTAAAATATCTCGAGCTGTGCTTCAGGTGGCTTTAATGCGTGCATAAGTGCATTGTTATTTTTAAATGACGTTCTAACACTAGCCTGAGGGGGAGGGTGCACGATCCAATCGTATGTCTTCTTTTCCGTTTTCTTGACTAGAAATCAATTAACGTAAATCGAGGACAAAGAGAGCGACCCCCACCTGTTCGTTCGCTCATTATTATTTCATTCATTCATTCAGTTTATATTTCTCTCGATTACGTATTATTTCTGTAAATGAATCTTAACGTTATACCATCGAAATGAATATTAAACAAAAATAGAACTAATATTTCCCTGCTGTCATAATATACAAATTGAATTATTTCACGATTTTATAAATTGTAATCTTTTGCATTTGTATTATTTTAACATTGTTTTATTAAAATGTATCAAAAGTTTGTATGCAATTTATTGTTATAATTGTTTCAGAAATAATGTTTTAATACATTATTAACATAAGTCAATAAATTGATATTATATGCAAATAAGTTTAGAAACTTGCACTGAACTTTTGATTAATCTTAATATTTTAATTTAATACTTCAAAGATTTTTGTTAAAACAATTATGTAGTTTTGAAATTAGTTTTAAATTAAGTGTATTTATAAAGAATATTTTATATATTTAACTTTTAGGGTGTTAAATGCAAAAGGTTATATCTTTATCACTCCAATTATATTATTTTGATATTTACGATTTATATAGAATTTAATTAATATTTTAAGTAACACGTGTAAATAATTAAATTATATTATAAAATTTATCTACCATTGTTTTTTAATAGAAAAAATTATATATTTAATTAATTAATAATTAATTAAATATTTATATATTAAATTTATAAATTATAAATTTTATTATAATAAAATTTATTAATTATAAATCTAATTTTATTTTATTTTAATTATAATTAAAATATAATATAAAAAAAAATTGTTATAAAAAAAAAAGTAAACGGATTATAATATAATTGAAGTAACAACAGTTAAATAATTATACGATAATAAATCTAAACTCTACAAACTAAATTTAACTAACAATATGTTAACATATATACACACATATACATATACATATATATACATATACATTTTCGGATTATTTTGATGAATATCTCACCTCGATAATCTATAGAGGGTTGAGGTGGTGCCGGATAATTATTCCACGCGTCATACGCGAAGAAATCTTGTAAGAATGGTAATTTGTTCATAACTTGAATGGCCCTACTTTGACGATTGCTATACCTCCATATTGTACGTAATTCTCTACACGTGGGTTCTCTATTATCATCCGTAGGATTATCACCCACTTCTGTCATCTGGGTTGACATAGAATCGACGTAACGTGGCCTAATACCTTCGACGAGCAATCTGCTCGACTGGGCCAAAATAAAAGCAGTCCATAGAGCCGTCACATGCATGTTCTGGAATATCAAACATAAAACAAATATCATACATAAAACAAATGTCATACATAAACATCACCTACTCGTATATAATATTTCTTCCATATAAATATAAATATTTTGTCGTGTTTGTTTGATTTTAAACCTTTTTCAAAATGTTGAAGTATCGTGAAAACAATGCATACTTTTGTTAAATAAAACGTTTGAAAATTTGAGGAAAGAGATTTATTTCATGCTCATAGATTTTGATTCTTTAAAATAAAACTTTAAATTAAATTAGATATTGATTTTATCTTGTTAAATATATATATATATATATTTATAATTTAAGTAGTAATTATATATAAATAATAATTTCTTAAATATATATTTATAATTTAAATAATATTTATATTTATATATAATTTTAATAATGATTATATTTAAATACAAATTTTTTAAATATATATTTAAATATATATATTTTAAATTAGGTTAAATATTGATTTTAACTTTTTAAATATATATTTATAATTTCAATAATATTTATATTTAAATAATAACTTTTTTAAATATATATTTATATATTTTTAATAA